TATGTAACAGAGAAGTTTGTAGACAAAAGATTGGATGTGTACCTTTAAGCTGTAAACAGCCAGAGAGATTGGTCCAAAGTGCTCTGCTCAGTCCAATAATAATCTGCTCGCTGTTTAAACGTTTTTAGTTTATGTTACGTGATAACGCTGACTAAAGTAAAGACAGGGGTTCTGTTACTAAGGCCCTTTTTTTCATAGCCTGGGTACCATCCTGCTTAGCGACTGTGGGAGCGGACGTAAACTAACCAGGATGGTACCCAGGCTACCTTTTTCAACGGACGGCGATCATCAAATATGATGTGTGTATCATCGAGTGTCTAACAAAAATTTGATTTTTTGGGGATACTTGATATGATTCACGCATAACGTTTGATGACACTCACACACAGTGGGCAAGGACCCCATGGTTTGCAAACACCTATTGTTAGTGCATATTTAGGCGACGCCTACCTATCTTTTGGGGAGAAAATGTGGGTTCTTCTCATTTTCTTTTGTTTGTTAAACATTTTAGAGTATGGGTGTCCAGCAGAAAAAAAAATCGCCATTTAACTCCGAATGAAAAGTATACGCATAAAAACAACACAAAGTCACACATATTCTTGATAATCAATCACCACAGTATGTATCCCCTTTCAGAGCTGTGACTTCGGCTAGTCTCGGTAGTTACATATGAAGAGTTATCAGTGTGGTGGCATATATGTGTTCATGTGTATTTCTATTGGTTTACACTTGATACATTCCAGTGAAACCATATACGAAACCCTGTTGGTGTTAAACCGTGGGTTATATAACAAATGATCGGTATTTCTTCATGGTATTTTATTAACCCAGTAAAGAAAATATTCACATTCACTCTTTCTAGGATCATAACCATAACGATAAAATTCCTGTTCACAAAATGATAGACTCTGTGGCTTTAGCTGCCTGGCTCCAAAAATAGAATCTCCCGTGCACTTTGACCCCATTCATTCTTCGTCTCTCATCTGGTATGATTGTTTTACCCAGGTATATCGAGTCTCCGCATGGATGTTTCAGGTTAAGTTTCCTTTCTTTAGTGATATCTTATTTTTTTGCACAATGTATAATCTAGTTCTTCACTGTAAGCATCGTGGACGGACCTTTCTTATGATTTCGTATACCTCGGTCAAAACAAAGAATGCAAATATTCCTGTCTCATTGCTCGAACTGGTCATGTTTTGGTCCAACTGATAACTGTGCTGGACAGTCAGAAAAGGTCCATTGTTGTACTTTAGGTGAAATCAACGGCTGTACCTAGCCCGCCTCACACCTTGAAAGAAACTTTGTGAGGGTCAATGCACCTGGCTCAAGGTCAACCTGGGAGTAGGGTTTGATTTTCGACACTGTCTTTACCTAGCTTTTAATATAAAAGTTCTTAACCCTTGTCCTGCTGGCCTTTTTACAGAATTTTAAAAAATAATTTGAAGTCTTAATCAGGTCACAGACCCTTGAATTTTTTTCCCTGCGGTGGCGTAGTTACTTCCGCATTCGTTGCGTTTTGCTGCGGTTTGATGTGCGTTGCATGAGAAACACCCCTAAATCGTACATATACAGGGCACTATATAGATGGTACTGTATGTGCAACCATATATATATATATATATATATATATATATATATATATATATATATATATTT